CTGTATGTGACAGTAACAGCTCTGCTCTCCTTTAACAATATCGAACTCTCAAATGCCTGTAAGTGCTTTTTGGTTTCCAGGGTGACTGATTACAGCCCTCAAGTCGGGAGAGGTTTGTCCTTTTCCCACTGGAGAAGCCCTGGCTATCTTCCCTTCACAGGAGTCCTTAGCTGCTCATCTCAGTTTCAGGACGCTTGGTTTGTGGGAGCGTGTTGGAAACTTCTCCTTGGGGCTACCTTTCTGCGCACTGTAGAGTGCTTGGTGTGTGAATGACCTGATGCCGCCTAACACTCAATAATGGACACTCGAGTCCTCCTGCATCATGGCTATGCCATGTGGAGAAGGTCCTGCTGGATTTTGATGTAAAGAAGTCCAACCACAATAAAGGGGGCTTGGGGAGATTACAGGCTGGGCCACAATGAACAAAATCTGTAGATGGATGTATTTTAGAGAAGATCTACAATTCATACTTCCTTCAAAGGATTTTTAAAAAGAATTATTTTATTTAACTTTATCTATTTATTTAAATTTACCAGAGAGGGACAGAGAAAGAGAGAAAGCAAACTGCCAGGTCTGGGACTCAGCCGCGGTTGGCCATGTGGGAGTCAGTGCCCCTAACGACCACGCCACCTGCTGGGCCAGCTTCACAGGATATTTTTTAGGGTTATATTTTTGTAAAACAAAATTCTGAAACTTGATCACATTCTTTTAAGTTGTTCCTAAGCAAAAATTCAAGAGTCTCCTAAATAATACACTTGGCAATATTTATATGTATTATCATTTGTAATTCTACATTACTTATTAATTCTTTATTTAAATAACATTTAATTGACAGCAGAGAGATTATGCCCATTCAAACTCAGTTTCTTATTGATAATCTGAGAGTTTCTACCCTGCATCAGTGAACAGAGTTGCCAGTGAAGAGGTTGCTTTGCCCCTGCTTAATTTCAGAGACCACTTGGGTAAATCTATCCTAAGCTTAAGAATCTGCCTAATAAAGACAGGATGCCAAAGCCTCTGAACTCTCCAAAATGGAAGTGAAAGAATTTTTAGGTGTGCCCTGGGATACTACGATAATCTCCTAATATACTCTAGGACTAGTTTAGGGGGATGTTACAAGAGAAAGGTGGGTGGCCTGGCTGTTTGGGGGTGAGGTTGTATAGAACACAGCTTGGTTTAGAGCCCTGAATACCTAGCCCACATCCCACTAACCTAAACTTCTCCTGCTTAAAACTAAGATCGCTAAACCTTAGAGGTGGTGAACTTCATACGGACAAAGTCATGAGTCTTTTTCACAGCCTTGAAATAAAAATCTCAAAGAACAGAGGAAATGAAAACTCTGTCCCATCACCTCCATCATTTTATTGAGATATAGCCAAGGTTGGTAACAAGTAGATGGGATGTGAATTAGGAGCTCAAAAAGAAGCGTCTTTTGGAATGTTGTTGCCTTTAATGTGTATTGGAGCCCCGTATTGGTAACATCTGTGGTTTTTGAAATTGTGAGACATACTAGGTATCATATACAATGGGACTGATTTCACGTGGACAACTTGTCTAAATGAGGGACAGGCAGGGACACTGCCTCCAGGGGAGTTACAGTGGTGGGGGTATTGCTCATGAGTAGTAGTTGTCCTATGTGTTTTTTTTCAAGGACAGTCAATTGTGGTTACAGTTGGAAGATTTGAAAAGCATCGTGTATGTTACAGGTCAGGTGCGTGTTTGTTGTGTTAGCTTCCTTTCCTGGGAACCAAATCAAAGCAGCAGAGTTTTGGATAAGATAGGGAACAGGGCAGTTTGTCAGCTCTGCCCAGAGATTGTCATTTCAGTATTGGTTTTTGTTCCTCCTCACCATGACTCTGTTATGAGTTGCCTACTACAGTGGTCACTAGATCATCTAAAAGGCACATAAAATTTTCATTAACATAAGTGGATTTGTTCCTTTTGAATTTTAAGACAAAGTCCATATTAGGTATAAAAATAACATCAAATTAATAAATCCTTGTGGTTTTTAAATTTAGTTTATTTCTAGTAAAACAAGTTTGACTTAAAAACAAGTAGCCTAGGGGACAGTAGGTGTCATAGTGGTTGAGGTGCTGGATGGACTCCCACATGGCTGACTACAGTTTAAGTCCCGGACCTGGTGATTTGTTCTCTCACTTTCCCTCTCTTTCTCTTGTTCTCTCTGTCTCTGTCTAATGACATATGCCCTATAGCAATTTAAAAAATAATAATAATAAAGTAAAATAAATAAATAATTACCAAGAAAAAGTAGACTTGGGGCCAGATGGTAGTGCAGCAGTAACCCAAACTCTGTGAGTCTGATCCTCCTGAGAAGGTTCTGGGTTCACATCTGGAGATCTCCCTGAGCATGCTGGGTGTGCATGTGCTCATTCTGGAGCTGGCTGAAAGTGGGGGTGGATTGCCGTGTGAAGACTGGGGGTGGCGCTGTCTTTCCCTCGGTCATGGAAGAAAGAAAGTTAAAAATAGAGCAAACTTAAAAACAACTAAACAAATTAGTCTTTCTCGTTAAGCTTTTTAGAAAATCCCCATTTGGGCTAGCAGGTGGCATAGTGGTTAGAATGCTGGCTTCTCACGTGGCCTACTGCAATTAAAGTCCCAGACCTGGTGGCTTGAAAATCATACAGGGCACATGTACATGCGTGCCCAAAATCCCAGGAGGAGAAGGGATTGTGGTGTGGCTATGCCCCCTGGGGAGGTGTTTTCCTACTCTCCCTCTCACTGTCTCTCTCTGGCAAGCACACATTCCCTATGACAAAAACCTTTAAAAAAAGAAAACCAAATGCACCCCCTAAATGGTGCCTGGTTACACGGTAATTCTGTAGTCTTTTTTTCTTTAACAATCTTATTGAGAGAGCATTCTCATACATACAATTCAGTCCATTTTAGCGAACTTTTTCTAGTCAGTAACCGCAAAGAAAATTCTTTGTGGGGTATTTAATGTCTGACGCATGTAATTCCATAGAAAACGATGACTGGTGCCGCTGACAGGTGACTAATACTTTCTGGAATGTAAAACCAGGGTTAGTGCTAGCAGCAAATGAGATGTGGTAATCGTGAGAGAATTAAAACAACATTCTATGGATTTGGGTCCTGGCTCTACTTTTTTTTCTTTTCTTTCTTTTTAAAAATTTTTCTCAGAGGTCATATGCACTCACGAAAGAGACCAAGAGAGAGCGAGTGCATTGCATGGGGAACGGTCCCATCACAACCCCCCCCCCATCTCTCTCCTTTCAGAATTTTGGGCATGCACACACAGGCACTCAGTGCATCTTTTAAGCGCCTCTGAACTTGGTAATCAAATCACGTAATCAGCCAAGTGGGATTCAACCTATTGGCTAGGCCTGAACACATGTTAATAAACTAGATTTTATACTACAAAATAGCCTCCTGGAGAAATTATAGAGAGATTTTTTTTTTTTTTTCTTTTTGAGAGGTTTTTGCTTTAGGGGGCATGCGCTCGCCAGACAGACAGAGGGAGACATAAAGACAGAAAGCGAGAAATCACCCCCCGGGGGGATGGTCGCACCGCGATCCCTTCTCCTCCATTCTCCTCTTGGGATCTTGGGCACGCACGCACATGCGCCCGGCTTGAGTTTTAAGCCACCTGGTCCGGGACGCGAACCGCGGTCGACTACGTGGGAGTCCAGTGACATAGCCATTACGCTAACTGCTGGTTCCCTACAGAGAGCTTTTTAAATGTGTGTGTGTGTGTGTGTGTGTGTGTGTGTGTGTGTGAAAGAAGAGAGAGGGTGGTGGCAGAGCAGTAAAATGCAGTGTTCTGTAAGGTGAACTCCCATGGGGAGGTTCCAGACTCACATCCAGAAACCTCCCTGAGTACACCGGAATTCATGTGCCTGTGGTCTGGGCCTGGCTAAGGTTGGGAATAGATTATGTTATTGAGACCCTATTGGGTGGGTGCTCTGTCTGTTTTTTTTTTTTTTTTTCCCTCTCTCTTACTTCCTCATGAAAGAAATAAATAATACGTAGTAGAATTTTAAAATATGTATATACCAATACCTGCACACCTCACTCTTAGACATTCTGTTTACATTGACCTGGTATGCACTGAGCTCTGGGATGATTAAAGCTCCCCAGGTGACTCCAATACATAGACAAGGAAGAAAACCACCAATCTTAGGGTTTTTCAGCAGCCCATCCTTCAGGTAGCTTGAAAAGTTGGAATTTTAGAATCTTAGAATCCTAAATTTCAGATGGATATCAAAATCGTGTGCAACCTCTGTGCTCTTCACCTGAATCATCTCCTGTAAAGGGAAGGTAGAAACTGGGACTTCTCATTGAGCCCTGTTTTAGAGCCAGTTAATTTCTTTATCTTAAGAGAGTGGTTTCCTTCTGCCTTTGGAGTAGCTGGAGAGAAAGAAACTTTTTAAAAATGTGTAGGTATCTGTCTTTATCTAGAAAGTTGCCTCAGTGTCCATTTTTAACAGAGATGAGAACTCTTACCTTGTAAAATTGTATTGCAACATTATAAAATAAAATAATAGTGTTCTGAACCCAAAGCCTGATAATTAGTTTCTCTTGTGCTTAGATAAAATGCAGTAATTCTGTCTCTTCTGATTGTCAACTTCTTGTGGAGTGGGTAAGATCACAGGTTTAGGAACCAGAAGGCATGGTTCAAATCCTAAGGCTTGCCACTTAGGAGCTCTTTCATCTTGGATGAGTTATTTATCCTCTCTGGGCCTCTCTTGTCCCAGCTGTTAAATGGGAATGATGACTCTCACTTTCCAAGCAGAAGGATTAAATTATCAGACCAGTGCCTGGCCTGTGGTGAGCATTCTCTATATGTTAGCAGTTGTTATTACAGTTGTTTTGAGCTCTTATGTGTATGTTTCTGAAGCAATTTGGGGAGACTTGAGATGTAATTCATATGTGATACTAATTAACCAGGAAGAGTGCCATGAGGAGGGCCAGGTGTCAGACAATAACTCCATCTGCCTTGCCTTTTCAACTGTGCTCTGAAGAGTACAGAACAGGTGGCCGCATTTTGCCGCAGTTTGCATGAGATGAACCCCTCTGACCCAAGCCCGTCTCCTCAGGACCCCACCGGGCCTCAGCTGGCGACCATGAGACAACTCTCGGATGCAGATAAGCTACGCAAAGTCATCTGTGAGCTCTTGGAAACCGAGCGCACCTACGTGAAGGTGCGCCTGTTCTCCTGGCCCTCCCTTTCTTGCAGAGTCTGCCTCCCTCTGCTTCATTCCTTCATTGAAGAAGTGAAGTTTGGTGTGTCTGTATTGTTTTTAACTAACAACGTCAGTCCTGGTAGAAGAACGAAGAGTATCTTGGTCTTGTGTGGAATCTGGCTTTTATTCTGAATGTTAAGATCTCCTTTTGTGTTTTAAGGAACCATATCCAGTCTTACAGCAATTTTAATAAATATGTCAGTGCTCCAGTGTGTGTAAGTATATAATGAGGGACTTCAAAAAGTGCACGGCATGGCAGGTGGTGTGGTGGTTAAGGGCACTGGATTCCCCCATGACTGACCACAGTTTTGTGTCCTGGACCTGGAGGCTTGTTCTCTCACTTTCCCTTTCTCTCTCTCTGTCTCTCTCTGATCAAATTAATAATAATAAAAATAACAACAACAACAAATGGAATTAAATAAATAATTCTTTTTTTATTTTTAAAAGTGCATGGCAAAATGTAATTAAAGCATAAATTTACTTTGGTGCAAAGAAACCAAAGTCCATGCATAGTTCTTCACAATATACATTTCTGTAAACTTTTTAAAGACCTCTTATTTACAAAGATAAAGATAGCAAGTCATTGAATGATAAGTTACTGATTGAGAAAGGAGAGGATGGTGAATATTAAGTGATCCTTCTGATCGTTCTAAATTTCTTTTATTCACTTTAAATTTATCTATTGGATTGGTGGAAAAGTCATGACATATTTTTCTTTCTTTTTTTAAAGAAATTTTTTGTTATCAGGTGTGTATACTTGCCAGAGAGGCAGAGAGACAGAAAGTGAGAAATCGTCCCCCAGGCTGGATGACCATGCTGCAGTCCCTTCTCCTCCAGTCTCCTCTCGAGATTTTGGGCACCCATGCACACATGCCTGCTGTGAATTTTTTAAGCTGGGTCTGGGACTTGAACTGCAGTCAACTATGTGGCAGTCCAGCGGCATAACCATTATGCCATCTGCTGGTCCCTGTATTTTTCTGTTTTTTTGTGTGTGTTTGTGCAGAAATGTGTAATGATTTTTCTGATGACCCAATATTTATTTTTGATTTTCAAGCCACCGGGTCCAGGACCTGAACTGCAATCAGCAGTGGGAATCCAGCGACTCAACCACTATGCCACCTGCCGGCCCTCTAAATATATTTTAAAGTTCATATTAAAAATTTTATTTTTGAGAAATTTGAGGGAATTATGTTCATTATCTACTTTGAGTCTGGGCAGAAGTGTGTCAGGTCTACTTTCTTTATACTATTCTAACATTTTTGTTACATATTCCACTAAAAAGCAGTGTGCACTGTTTTTTAGTGATCATATTTTAGAATTTAAATCAGGGTTAGCACGTTATGGCCTTCAGGACAAATTCAGCCTGCTGCCTGTTTTTGCAAATAAAGTTTTATTGGAGTACAGCTATTCTTTATAAATTATCCATGCTTGCTTTCATGCCACAAGAGCAGAGTTAAGTAGTTGTGGCAGTGACCTTATGGCCTGCAAAGCCTGAGTTATTCACAGAAAATGTTGGCTGATCCCTGCTTTTAATGGATCATAATAATGACCTAAAGACTGACGGTGGCTTTGGAACACAATCTGTTTTTTCTTCTTTAGATTCTTTATAGACTCTTAGATGTACTAATGAGATGTCCTTTCACCTCTTAGGACTTAAATTGTCTCATGGAAAGATACCTGAAACCCCTTCAAAAGGAAACTTTTCTCACCCAAGATGAGGTATGGTGGAAATTATCTTAACTTTGGGAGGGCCACACTGCAAGTTGACTTATTAGTGAAGGAAAAGGAAAGAGGGGTTCACATAATATTTAAAGCATTTTGAATTCATTTAATTGTAACAAATAGATCAGGTGATTGCCTGGTGAGCTTTGGCATGCATTTGGAGAATAAGCAGCAACCTACCCTCTGGTTGTGGGGTCATGATCTTGACAGTATCGGTAGGAAAACCTCATAGTCAGATGCAGATAATTTATGAAAATGTATGAAATATGAGGTGTATTAAATTCATTTTCATTTTCCAGCTTGATGTGCTATTTGGAAATCTAACGGAAATGGTAGAATTTCAAGTAGAGTTTCTTAAAACTCTGGAAGATGGAGTGAGACTGGTACCTGATTTGGAAAAGCTTGAGAAAGTCGACCAATTTAAGGTAAGTTCAGTCTTCACCTAGTCTAAAGCTGCCTCTTGAAGTCGTAAAGGGCCATCTGGTGGGCTCAGTTGAGTCCCTGGTAACATACTGCAGGAGGCCGTATGCTTTCTTTGGTGTTTATTATGGTCACTGGGTTGCCATTCACAGTGTGCCCAGTGAAGCTCACTTTCTCCTGTTTTTTTTTTTTTATTTTTATTTTATTTTATTTTATTTATTTATTTATTTTAGTTTTTTGCCATAGAATGCATGTGTTCACCAGAGAGAGAGGAGGTGAGAAAGTACCCCTAGAGGAAATGGCCATGCTGTATAATTCCTTCTCCTACATTCTCCTCTCAGGATTTTGGGCACACAAACACACATACCTGGCATGATTTTCAAGCCATCGGTCCTAGAATGTGAACCATAGTCAACCTGTGGGAATCTAGCACTTCAACCACTACGCTGTCTGCCAGCCCAGGGGCTTTCTTAAGGGCGTTGGAGAGCAGACCCAGTGTCTCCTGTTTGTCTGGCTAAGGGAAAACCAGTGCTACTGGCTGGCATTACACAGGTTCATTTGCTGACTTGTACTCTGGAAGATGTCCCAAACTTAACCTTTTGTCCTGTTTATGAAGAACCTGTAACACTTTGCCTATTAGAATAGTAAATTAGAATAGCACCCTTGGTCTCTCAGTAAACAAATTAATTTATCCTGTCCTGGGAATCAGTGCTTAATGGAAATGCTTATCATTATCTAAGAGGAAGACAGTCTTATAGCACGCAGTGTCCTTGCAGCATTAATGAGGATGTATAACTAGTGCCTTAGTAAGGATTCTTATGGCTTATTTCTCCTTCCCTGTCTGGTTTTCCTTTATTGCAGAGATTTCCTATGCTATGCCTCCAGGTCACCAAACTCATCGATTCATGTATTGACTTACAAGTCACTGTTGTATACTTAAAAGTATATAAGACATTAACTGAGGTCTAATTAACATCCAACACACTGCACCTAGTGTACCAGTTGGTGAATCTGGACATGTGTACCTCTGCGAAGCCATCACCACACTCAGGACAGTGAACATGCTCATCTCCCCGAAAGTCTTTTCCTGTCTTTGTGTAATTTCCCTCCCCTTCCTTTTCTCTCCTATCTCTGCTCTGCTTTCTGTTATGACAGATATGTTTGCATTCTGGAATCTTATACAAGGAGTCTTACAGTCTGTGCTCTTTTTAAATGTGACTTCTTTTATTTAGCATGAGATCCATCCAGACAGCTGCATATATCAATGGTTGATCCCTTTTACCCCCAAGCAGTTTTTTTTTTTTTTGGGAGGTTTTTGCTAGAGAGTTTATGTGCTCACCAGAAAGACAGAGATAGAGAGACAGAAAGTGAGAAATCACCACCCAGGGCAGATGGACACACACGCACATGCGCCTGGCGTGAGTATAAGCCACCGGGTCCAGGACTCAAACCGCAGTCGACTATGTGGGAGTCCAGTGACATAGCTGTTACACCAACTGCTACTCCCCCCGCCCCCGAGCAGTATTCTATCATATACACGCAGTACCTTTTGTTATTCTTTCACTTTTGGGCATCTGGGTTGTTTCCATGTTTTGGCAATTAACAATAAAGTTGCTATGAATATTTGCATACCAGTATTTGTATACATGTTTTCATTTCTCTTGGGTAAATACTAGGAGTGGAATGGTTGGGTCATATGGTACGTGTATGTTTTACTTTTTAAGAAACTGCCTGTTTTCCAAAGTGCTTATCCCACGGTACCTTCCCACCAACAGTTTCTTCTCACTCTTCTGATGAAGTTAAGGCTACGTTGTCATTTTAGCCAGTAACACGTGTCGTGGCACTTCACTGTGGCTCTCATTTTAATTTTTCTCCTGACTTATGATGATGAGCTTCTTTTAATGATCCAGTTTGCCTTCAATATTTCCTCTTGGGTGAAGTGTCTGTTCAGATGATTTACCCATTCGTTTTACTGGGTACTTTTGTGTTCTTATGTTGAATTTTAAAAGTTCTTTGAATCTATATTTAGTAGGTATTATGTTTTTAAATATTTTCTCCCTGTCTGAGGCTTGTCTTTCTATTCTCTTGACAGTGTATTTTAAAGAGCAGAAGTTTTTCATTTTAATGAAGTACAGTGTTTCAGTTTTTCTCTTTTTGTGGCAGTGATGGGGTGTGTGTGTGCATGCATGTGTGTTTTGGACAGGTTCTTGGTGTGTCATGACATGTCTACCTCGGTCTCCTGAGTAGAGGGGAACCCCAGGCACACTAACCGCTGTTCATTCAGCTTCTTCAGACAGGGTTTGCTGTGTTGTCCATGCTGGCCCTAAGGGCTCTGCCCTCCTGCCTTGGTGCCTGAGTAGCTGGGACCGCAGGTGCAACCATCGGACTCGGCTGGGAGCAAAACCTCTTATGTGGCCTCAGCAGCAGTGCAAAGCACACAGTGTAGCGGCTGGGCCCATTTTCCTTCCGAATCATACTTTTGAAGTCTTAGCTATGAAATGTTTGCCTAAGCCAGGAATATTAACCTTTTTCCCATGTTTTCTCTTATTACTTTTATAATTTTCAAATTTATAGTTAGGGCTCTGGTCTGTTTTGATTTAAATATGTTAGTTGTAATCTATGAATCAGAGTTACTATTTTTGTGTACATGTATCTGAATAATCAGTTTTTCTAGAACATCCTCCTACCCTTTTTCTGCTGTATTTCCTTGGCATTGTGTTGAAAGTCGTTTTGTCCATCTATGTGTGGGTCCCCACTCACTGCGCCTGTCCTCTAACACTTGCGGAAAGTTGTCTGTGTGATGTTAGTGTACAAGCTCAGGAGCTGAGTTGCGGACTCTCAACCCAGTATTCTAGCTCAATGTGGTATTTCTTGTGTCATCTCTTCATAGTGCCTGAGAGACCCTGTTGAGGGTACTATCTCTGTTTCCCTTGACATCCCTCTTTGTCACTCTCTCTTGTTTTTCTTGTTCATAGAAGAAAATCAATACATTTTTTAAAATGTGCCTAATACAGAGCATTAACAGATGGATACTGACATAGCTTAAAACACTTTGTTTTAACCTAACCTATCTTAACATTTATTTTATTCATTATTGGTCTTGTGCTGAGGGGCCTGCTCTTTGAGTTTTGGTCCAGTTGACCACTTAAAGGAGCCTGGATGTGAGAACTGTCAGCAGAGTTGCCCTAGGGTGCGATGATCCTTGCAGCGAGTCCTGGTGACTGACACTAGGCAGTCACTGTTGTAGGTTGCACTGAAGTGGGATCTTCACTTTCCTGCTTATTGTACAGATAGTCCCCCTCTATCTACAAAATGAGACACCTGACCATGGGCTTCTCTTCTTTGTGTCTAATTAATTATTTATTTATGTTAATTTTTTTAAAAGAGAGATTTTTGCTATAGCACACGTGTGCTCCCTGGAGACACAGAGAGAGAGAGATACTGAGAAATCACACCCCCAGCGGGGATGGGGAGGTGATGGCCACACCACAGTCCCTTCTCCTCCATTCTGCTCTTGGGATTTTGAGCATGTACACATAGATGCCTACCATGATTTTCAAGCCTCTGGGTCTGGGACTCAAACTGTATTTGACTATATGGGAGTCTAACACCTTAGCCACTAGCCCCAGTTCTGTTTGTCTAAGTTGGCATCTTGATAACCCAGGAGTCTTCCCCTATGGGACTGTTAGATTTGCTCGCTAGTTTGTCATTGTCTTTTTTTTTTTGCAATTGCTGTTCTGTTTAAATCCTGGTTATCTATTTAGCCAAGCATATAGAAACTGTGGGAGACCCTTTAAACTCCTATGGAAGAGAAAAGGGAGAGAAATGCAGGCCTAGTTGATAAAGTCCTTCCCATTGGTGCATAATGTGTGCTCTGAAGTTAAGTTCAGAAAAAAAGAAGAACACCTCAATATATATTTTCTCATCAGCATTTAATTATCTCAGATGTTTTATTTGTGGTTACTACATGGTAGACACTTAGTAAATATTAAGTTGAGCAAATGAACGGTTTTAATGTGGATAAAGATAGGGATTGTGGATAAAGGGAAGGCTTATATGTGCAGTATTTTCTAATTTTCACAACTGTTATTGTTTAATTTGTGAGTAGGTAAGAGTCTCAGAGTATAACCACACTTCACAGTCAGGTGGCTTCTGCTGATACCCTCTAAGCCAGGGGCATGAGGGTAAGGGCAGGACTTGAAAAGTAAAGGAGGCAAAGAAGATCATGTGGAAAAGAATTTAGCCCTCTAATTACCAGTTGTGTATGATTTAAAATAAAACTGTTTTTTTTCTTTCCTTTTTTTTGTCAGTAGACAATTCTCTGCATTTGTGCATTAATTAAATTGCACTTTTGGGAGTCCAAGTTCATCCCTGAAATCCAGAACCTTGCGTCTTTGCTTGGAACCTAACTTTTCATTCTAAGTCTAAATAAGCAAAACCTCTTCTTAAGAGGACTAGATCAGTGTGAAATTTACAGAGGATATTTTTCTGAGGCCTATTTCACATACATATTTATAGAAAATATGTAGGGTAAACGCATCCTGCCTGAAGCGTACTAAAGTCCTAGTAGGCAAGTCCATTGCCCAGTTTTGATCCCTTTTGTGCAGGGCATATGCCGGGAGATGCTCCTGATTTCCGTAGTCGATCACACTTCTTTATGTAATGTTGCTGATGCTCTCATCTGCTCCCTGCTACAGGAGACCATGGCTTTGGAGCAGGTGGAGGTGATGATCAAGGCAATGTGTTTTCTATTTTTGAGGATGTGAGCTTTTCCTGCCTTCATTTGATTTATCTCTTGTATCTCTCAACAGGAGATAGCAAAGTCAGGAGATTTCTGCCTTTTCAAAAATACATGTTTTCTCATCAGCATTTAAATATCCCACATAGGTCGCTGAAAGATACAGGGCTGGAAAACCAGAGACTCTTCCACTAAAAATACAGAGATGATAATATTCATCAAATATACAAATCTATACAAATCTGTAGGTCCACATACATTCTTTCCTTTTTAATTTTTTATCATTATTATTATTTTTTTAATTGCCAGATGACATATATACTTGCCAGAGAGAGAGAGGAAAAAAGCACCCCTCAGCGGGACATGGTCACACCACAATCCCTTTTTCCTCCATTTTTCCATTTTGTTGGGATTTTTGGCATGCGTGCATACATGTACAACATGTTTCTCAAGCCACATAAATTTGAACCCTATGGTCAGCCATGCGGATCTAGTTGTCTTAACCACCAGATTACAGGACTGGCCCTTTTCCTTTTTTAAAAATTATCAGAGGGTACATGCACACTCAGGGGACTTGGGGGATTGGCTATGTGGCATCTGGCTCCCTAACTCACAAAGCCAGGAGGCTGACTTGCCCCTTTCCTTTTTTTTTCCCTTTCTTTTTTTTAAGTGTATTTATTTATTTCTTCCATGAGAAAGACAGCAAGTACCTGCAACATAAAGACTAGTCTTTCTACTGTAATCCAGCTCTGGTCCCACTGGCCTGCATCATGGGCACACACCGCTGCTGTGCTCGGAGGTTTTTGATGTGGACCCAAGGACCTTTCCCATGTGGGTCCAGTTGCATTATCACTACGTCACCCTCTGGTCTCATACTTTCCTGAGTCCGTTTCAGGGCATCAGCCAGAAAGGAAAGATTCTGAAGGCATGGAAGATACTGATTTGCAGAGAGGGCCGAGCAGAGGGGAGCTCCCTTCTATACCTTGCTGGTTTTCCTAGAGGGGCAAATGAGCTAACTGTACTTTTTCTCTTTAATCCAGAAAGTGCTGTTCTCCCTGGGGGGATCCTTTCTGTATTATGCTGACCGCTTCAAGCTCTACAGTGCCTTCTGCGCCAGCCACACAAAAGTCCCCAAGGTCCTGGTGAAAGGTAAGGCTTCAGTGTGCCGCGTGGCAGTGGAGGCATTGCCTCTCGCTTCTTCTTTGTGTGGTGGACTGTAGTAGGGGCATTAGTAGAAAAATATAAGAATCATCGATGTGCCAGAGAGACATTCCAACAAGCCACAAATATGGGTACTTAGAAATGCAGTATAATAATATCTTGCATTAATAGTTTTATATACCAAAAATTATTTTTAAAGTTTATTTATTTATTCTTCCATAAGAGGAGAGAGACAACACCCACAACAGGGTTCCAACACCACAATCCACGCCCAGTTTCAGCCAATCCTGGACTGTGGGCAGACATATGCCTGGTGTACTCAGGGAGGTCTCCAGACTTGAACCAGGAGCCTTCTCATGTGGAATTGAATCTCAGAGTGTCATGCTTTTCCATTGTGCCATTGTTCAGCCCCTCTTTTAGAGAGAATTGTGACTCCACTATTAATGAGTTAATAGTGGAAAATTAATGGGTCATTTTGCAGTTATGTGAAAACATTGGGGTTTTAAAATTTCCTGCCTTACTCCTATTTTTTTTTAATGAATTTCTGTTGTAACTGATTACATTTCATGTATCTTTTTATGGTTCATCTTTCCCTTACCCGTTTTTGTTCCTAGGTGTATAAGAGCTTCCAATGTTGCTGCTAAAATTGTTTGAGTTATTTGCCAAAATTATTTTTGTGTAAAACAAAGTACAGTTTTTCTGTTGGCAAGCTACTTTTTCCTAAGCATTCAGAGATGGTGATGGAGAATTCTGAGAGTCTCTAGCAAGTAGTAGTTCAGTGCTGGTGGAGATAGGTAAAGGATTAAAGCAGCGTTCCCTTGGTAGACGGTGGAGTCAATTATAAGTATGATTTCACAGAGTCTTGGGAAATCTTAACACCTCATCATTGTTGCCAAGTAACAGCTGCTGATCAAGTCCCTGGATATGAAATTACTTACATGCGTGATGTTCATATTTGTTGCCAAAGAGAACTAGCTTGTCTTAATGACAAACCGATTAGAAGAACTATTAGCACAGTGCGTCTCTGGATAACAAAAGCACCTGCCCCAGTTCATGCCCCAGGTCATGACAGACTTCATAGTAGTGATATGATAGTCTATGCAGCAGAATTCTAGCTCAGCCCCCAATTTATGGGGACCTGGGAATTTTCTTTTCACACTACTCATCCATGACAGTGTTTTCTTATGTGTGGTGTTGGCCATATGCTTCTGTGTGTGTGTGTGTTTCTTTTTAAACTTCATTGAATTCTATTATGAGTTGGTTAAAAGAACCATTTTAGAGTGCTTTACTCCACAGTGAAATTATGTACCAATCATAATCCTTAGTTTGTGTTATTTTTAATCACTCAATTAAATTAAATTAAATTCTGCCTCCATGGATTTTCCTTAATTCAAGAACATTGTTCTCCACACCTGAAAAAATAATATAGATCTTTCAAAACTGTCATATAAAGTAGTAGGTATGACCCACATTTCTTTGTGTGTTTAAGTTGATTTATTTCTTTATGAGCGAGACTGAAACAGAGAAAAACAGACAACACATCCAATAGGATCTTGATGCTAAAATCCACCTCCAGCCTGAACCAGCCTCTGATCATGGGCACACGTGCCTGGTGTACTCACGGAGGTCTCGAACAGGAACCCTGAACGTTCCTATGTGGGTCAGCCTTGTAGAGCGGGTTATTTTACCGCTGTGCCACCATTCAGACTCTGACCCACAGTTTTCTAATTGCCTAATGAGTCAAGAAGATGAAGAGAACTCTTTGAGAACAAGAGGGTACTTGTCTGCAGTTTGTAACAGGCTCGCAGCTAGGTCTAGTAGGAGTGACTCTTCTGTACTGCACTGTGTGCTGTGAACCCGAAACTTCTGATCTGATATGAAATGGTGTTCCTGACTTCACTCTATATGGCCATATTTTTAGACTTGAGGATTGTGTGGGGGCGGGAAGAAGGTTCCTGAGCCCTGTCCACCATGGCTGTAGACTTCCTAGACTTGCCTGAGATGTGGGATGCCCCAGCATTCACAGCTTCCGCATGTGTCTGCTCTGGGCCTGGATTACCTTTCCTGGCCCATGGGCCTATTGGGCACTTGTTTCTGATGTCCTTTCTCTCCAGGGACTTGTTCTTAGAAAGAAAAGTGATGGCCAGACCAGTGGAATGTAATTCTGCCTAATGGGGCTTCAAAGGAATGAAAGACTCTGCCGTAGGAGGTGTTCCCCACGACAGTAGTTTCTCTTACTGAGGACAAGAGTTCCTTTGCAGGTCCGTGATGCCCTTGGACGGTATCTTCGGTTTTAGCTCACAAGCTTTACCACTGGGAAAGCGATTAAAGAAACATTCCCTTGTATTAAAGATACCTTTTTTTAATCAGAAGAATTGTTTAAATGCCCACCAGTTTTGGGGGGAGGGGTAATTATTCACTTGCTCAAGAAATCTTTGTGTTCCTTTGACATACCAAGTGCTGTTGTTGATTTTTTTTTTTTTTTGAGAGGTTTTTTCTACAGGGGGCATGTGCTCGCCAGAAAGAGAGAGACAGAAAGTGAGCGATTATCCCCCAGGGGGGGTGGCCATGCTGCAATCCCTTCTCCTCCATTTTCCTCCCAGGATCTTGGGCACGCACACACACGCGCCTGGCATGAGTTTTGAGCCACCGGGCCTGGGACACAAACCACAGTAGACTACATGGGAGTCCAGCAACATAGCCATTATGCTAACTGCTGGTCTTCCAAATGCTGTTGTTGAAAGTATGGAGCCACTGGAGGGTCATATCTTTATTTCCATTGGCGATTGTTAATCCAGATGAGTGTTTAGGTTCTGAACATGAAGGATGTGTATGGTTAGAAGTTGATGGCATTTGTTAACTGGCTTATCATACTTCTCAGGAATAGCAAATGGAAGAGTTGCAAAGGGCAAGCTATAAGAAGGGTGTAGAAGCTCTGGGACATGCCGAGTGCACGCCCTCCACCTACCCCGCTCCCCACACGTTGATGTGCTCACCAGCCTGGAAGCCCCATGTGTCGACTAGTAGTCACTTGGATACAGTCTCCCTCCTTCTTCCTTTACTTTGCCCTCCCCTCAATAGTCTTTGCACCTGGACTGCATTAGTCATGTCTTCCTAATCATCTGTTTGCTGGCATCTCTGCTCGTTCAGGCCCCACAGCCCCCCAGTGCTGCTTTCTAGGCCAGCTAGGATGCAGATGAAAGCGAGGGTGAGTTAACATTGGACTCAACACTGTGGGAGATTCAGCTTTGCTCCACTTTGCTAGAGCTGTAAGGCGCTGCTGCTTCTGTGTTCTTCTGCCTCTTTCCAAAAGAAGTTCTACCAGCAGAGAAATGCTTAAAAGATTAGAAAAACCAGGCTAAGGAGTGTTTGAAATGGAGGTTTTAAGATTATTCAGGTATTAGGGGTTGATTGCTTGAATTTGTCACTCACGTTTTCCCTAGGAGGGAGCATTCCATGCCCTGCAGGGCCCGATGGGAGAAGTATGGGGTTGGGTGGGGATGGGGAGTGTCGGGGTGGGCAGGAGGCTTTACTGTGGCTAATTCAGGAAGGATTAGGCGGGCTGGGTAAGCAGGTTCAGCACTGGCCACTTGAATAATTTCACAGACGTTTAGTATTATAGACACTAAGGCATCTGGTGCCTGGCCCTGGGGTGATTGGGGCAGGGTCATGGTGGACCAGTTAGAGGAGATGCATGTGGGAAGCCTCAATTGCTGGTCTGCAGGTAAAAAGCACCTTTATAGGCACATCCTTTACTACCAGGGGTTGGCTAGGCCTGACAGGGGCAGTCTCCAGGGTCAGTAAGGCCCCAGATGTCAAAACATTAGAATGAAAGCACATGCTTAATATGAGGAGGATAGACAGCATTCCTTAAACATTCAAGTTATCTTACAACTGACAGGCCTCCTTCCCCACCCCCTCTCCCAATGAAACAGCAAATAATTCTGACCGATAGGCCTTTCTAATTGCCTCTCTGAAGCCTCCTCCTGCCCACTCCCCCTCTTCTTGTAGCCCACTCTTTGCTCAGTCCTGTGAAAGGCGCCTTGGGGGTAAGTGAATCTGTGAGTGAATTGTGAGGCATGAGTTATTTGGGTGCTTCCCCCTGACCGCCTGCTATTTAAACTCTTCCAGCCAGGACAGACACAGCTTTCAAGGCGTTCTTGGATGCCCAGAACCCAAAGCAACAGCACTCATCCACTCTCGAGTCTTACCTCATCAAGCCCATCCAGAGGATCCTCAAGTACCCGCTTCTGCTCAAGGAGCTATTTGCTCTGACCGATGCGGAGAGCGAAGAGCACTACCACCTGGATGGTGAGCGACCCGTTCCCCTGACCTTCCCCCACTTGCATGTGTCTCCATGAGCCGCTTCATCTCACGACTTACTCCCTTCTAGTGGCCATCAAGACCATGAACAAGGTTGCGAGTCATATTAATGAGATGCAGAAAATCCACGAAGAGTTTGGGGCTGTGTTTGACCAACTGATTGCTGAGCAGACTGGTGAGAAAAAAGAGGTAAGGACCCCCTTGTCCTCAGATCACCAGTCAGTAATGCTGGGTTTGAATTTGCTTTACTTTTCACATGCGCTATTTGTAAGTAGAATAGCCATTACGATTCTGTTTTCATTGATGAAACACTTTCATTCTTTATCCAAAGCTATAATGTGAATTTTCTTCCTCATATAGTATATTCGCCTACACAGATTCTCTTCAGTTTATGATGGGTTTCATCCCAATAAAGCCATCGTAAGTTGAACATATTGTGGGTCAAAAATGCATATAGGGGACCAGAAGTTAGCCTAATGGCTATGTTGCTGGATTCCCATGTAGCTGACTACGGTTTGGGTCCCGGACCCGGTGGCTTGAAACTCATGCTGGGCACGTGTGCGTGCATGCCCAAGATCCCGAGAGGAGAACGGAGGAGAAGGGATTGCGGTGTGGCCATCCCCCCTTGGGGGGTGATTTCTCGCTTTCTGTCTCTGTCTCTGTCTGGCGAACGCACGTGCCCTATGGCAAAAACCGCTCCCCCCCAAAAAAAAATTCATTTAGGTAATGTAATCTACAGATCCTCAGCCTAGGTTATCTTAAATTTGCTCAGAGCACTTACATTAGCCTATAATTGGGTAAAATCATCTAACCCGAAGCCTGTTTCATGATAAAGTTTTGAATGTCTCATGTAATTTGTTGAACACTGTACTGGAAGTGAAAGATAGAAAGGTGATATGGATATTTTCAAAGATAGCTTTTTATTGAACATACTTTTATTGGTTTTGCTTTTTTCTTTTGAGAGGATTTTGCTATAGGGATGGTGTACCTGCCAGAGGAGACAGAGCGAATGCGAGAAATCACCCCCCCAGTGGGGGATAGCCACACCACAGCCCATTCTTCTCTCAGGGTTTTTGTCATACACACCCCCGGCATGAGTTTCAAGCTGTTGGGTCCTGGATTCAGCCCATAGTCAGCCATGTGGTAGTCCGTGCCTTAGCCACTAAGCTACCTGCTGGCCCCAAACGTGCATTGCTTTTGCACCATTGTAAAGTCAAAAGATTGCAAGCTGAGCAGTTTTAAGTTGGGGAGCAATGTGTCTGAGGCTCATCCTGTGTAAGTATGAGAGTGAATATCTATTACCACACTCTGTACTGTTTATAGAGGCCAAGGCTATCTAATCCCAGAAATTAAAATAACATCTAACATGTAGTAGGTGCTCAGTAAATATTTTTTAGGTGTTCAGTAAATATTTTTTGAATGTATGTAAGTTTCAAATGACTCTGAACCATCATTTTTTAAAGTCTACCCCAAAAATCTACTTAGAAGGAACTGTGACAGAAACAGATGTACCTGAAAAAGGCTTAGAGCACACTGTAAGCTGTATTTGAGCCAAGGGAAAGGGCTTACATGTATTAAGAGGCTGGTGATACTAAGATTTTATAGGGTATGATATATAGTGATATTCATTAATGTCTCTGTATACCCAGATTTGTCTGGACTATTATACTTTAGCTTTTTTGTTTTTTTGTTTTCTTTCTACTGTCTTAAAAAAAAAAAGAAAAGAAAAGAAACAAAGAAAGAGAAAAAGGAAAACCGCTAGGAGGAAACCATGAAGAAAAACACTCCTGCTGTGATTAGGAGCCTTAAAGGCAGAGGGCGTGGACATAGTTTGATTGTTTAATCTAAACTGGAGAAAGTACCTTATCTTCAGATAATAAAGGGTTATCCAAGTTCATTTTCTCATCCTCAGTAAAACAAAACTTGCTCTCAGACTGCTAAAGGAAATTTCAGAAAGAGGTAAAATCGTGGCATCTCAGGAGTACATGTTAAAAAGTTAAAATTAATTTAGTTGTAAGATGGGAAAGAAGCAGATGCTATGTGGGTTCACTGGGGAAAGTCAAAGTGGTACCGGTTTTCTATATACAGTAAAGGAATGTGGAGATGAGGGGCGAGTGGAGACATACTGATTTTTCCACAGCTGGAAGAAGTCACTTAGGTCACTGCTGGACTGGAGGCGATGAACATTTCTGTTACCTGCACCTCACAGAAGGGGGCAGAGAAATTCAAAGGCAATGCAGAGGGTTAGAATCCGATAGCCTGGGAGGGTTTGGTATAGAGGATGGCTACTTTCCAGCAAAACACAATTTTTTTCCCCTATGTAATAATACAAGCAAAGCGTGAGAATGTTCTCAGCCTATTTAGCAGATAAATTAATCTGTCAGGGTGTAGAAAAGATAGACTACTGCTACTCTGGATTTAGTTCTTATTTTTCCATGAAACTTATAATAAGAAAAAACATTATGCTTATTAGAGAAAAGGGCAAAATATAGAAAACGGCAAGAAGAAAAACTCTCTACAGTCTTAAAATACAGAATCTGCCACTCTTAATGTTTTCATGTTTATTTTTATTTATTTTAAGAATCCAGGCCAACAAGTGGCATGGTGGTTAGGGCACTGGATCCCACATGACTGACTCTGCAGTTTAAATCCCAGATCCATGAGTTGAGGAACATGTTGGGCATAAATGTGTGCATACCCAGAATCCTGAGAGGAAAATGGAGATGGGATTGTGGTGTGGCCATCCCTTCTGGGGTGAAAGGGGAGTGATTTCTCACTTTCTCTCTCTGTCTCTAGCGTGCACACACACCCTATGGCAAAAATCTGGAAAAAATTAATGTATTTGTAAATGCTTAAATAGTTATATTTTGAAAGTAATTTTATACCTTGATTTTTAAGTATCAAACACAGATTGTTCATGTTATTTTAATATTCAGAAGAATTATTGAAATTATTATATAATATTTTATCGTGTGGCTGATCAATGATTTCCTTAATCAGTTCCTATGACTATCAATTCTTTTGGCTTTATTTTAAACTGTTATGAATAATACCCCAAATATTTTTGTTATGATCCTGTATTGTATTTATTTCATTCTAACTTAAGAGGAAATGAACATTTTCATTATATGCTGTTTCATTATCTGCCAAATCAGTTTATAGATTTTTTTAAGAGCTTTTTGCTATAAGGCATTGTGCTCCCTGGAGACACAGAGACAGAGAGAGGGAAAGTAAGAAATCACCCCCCCCCCCAGGGGGGGCCCCTGTGCCACAATCTCTTCTCCATTCCCTTCTCCGGATTTTTGGCATGCGCATGCACGCACACACACACACTCGCGTGCAAGTTTCTAGCCGCCAGGCCCGGGCTCCGTCATGTAGAAGTCCTGTGCTTTCACCACTACACCATCTGTTAGCCCGCTCAATTTTAATCACCGTAGGAGCAAGGAAGTGACTATAATGCAAGAGACTAGAAGGTTATGTAGATAGTGGATTGCAAAGCATTTTGGTGAGGGGGAACGGTGAATTTGACCAAAAATCAGAGAGAAAGGGAATATGGCTTTCAGAAATCTTCCCAGCAAGGAACAAAGAGATATAGTGCTATACAAAGTATCCTCTGTGAGCTGAGATTATAGAAAAATGTGCAAAAGATGGAAGGAGGGGTACTTCACTGAGCAGCAATTTAAAGAGCAGCAATTTAAAGAGCAGAGAAATCCTATTTTGGTATCAGGAGGTTCCAAGGCCAGAAAAATTTAGGACCAGAGTAACAAAAGCACAAGTTTCAGGATAAGAAGAACAACCAGGAAATAAGCCCTCAGTGGGAATCGATTGCTCAAAGGCAATTGCTTACTCAAGGAGAATGACTGAAATACCCTTCAGTCTCTTTCTTTGTCCATTGAGGATGGTCTTTAAACTGGCAGGGTGGCCTGGATTCCACAAGAATAAGGCCCCAGGGATGATGGGTCCTGGGGAAATAGTATGGTCTGTGCCAAGATCAATGAGCATGTGCACTTCCACGTGTAGCAGTGTATTCGTAGACGTAGGGAGACCGGCAGCGGTAGAAGTGTATGACTCCGGTCTGACTTCCTCAAAGGTGGTTCTTGATTCATGTAGTTTCCTTTAAATGGCAATATTTGATAAAAAGCTGGAATGAATTTTTGAACCATTTATAAATGGGAATAGGAACACTCGTCAATATCTACAGGTAATGACAGGTTTATATTGATACAGCAGCATTCTAGGGCACAGAGTACGAGTCCTGTCTTTAACCAACTTTCATCCAATATTTGCATCTGAAGGGAAGTATGTCCACAGGGAACAAAGCTAGTTAAAGGAACATTTTTTGATGATGCTGAGGTTTTACCCTCCTACCCCTATGTTAAACCCTGGGCATTTGGGACTGAACCACACAGAGCACACCTTTTGCTTAGGTAAGGAGGAAGCCAAGAGGGCATCTTCCTGTAGAAGGCCTTAAAAAGCTAGTTCAGTAGGGCGCCTCAGTCTAAGGTACAGGCCTCCTAGCAGAACTGAGACTTAAGGTTTGGGAAGAAGACAGTTGGGGGCCAGTGAAAGCCCAGGGGAGAAGCTGTTGGCCAGAGGAGTCTCCTATCACACTGGCCATGTGGAAGCTTGTCAAAAGAGAAGCCACGTACACGAGACTGTATCAGCCCATTTTCCTGTGTTACAAACAACTCAAAATCTCAACCATTCGTGTCAATGGGTATTTCACACTTGGATATGTAGGTCACCTGGGTTTTGGCTTCTCTTGGACAATTTGTGCTCCATGCCTCTTTTTACTAGAATCTAGGCTGAAGCAGCAATGGCTGTCTTGAGCAAATCCTTTTCATGACTGGAAGTCAAGAGGGCTGGTGGACACTTGTTAGGCTGAGTCCACCTTCCAGGTTACATGGGCACTTTCAACATTGCATGGGCAGCAATGTATACTCAGCCTAGTCTTGTGGGAGGTGCTGCAAGAGTCACATGGCAGAAAGATGTAGAACTTTATTGGAGAATGTATTGTTTGGACTGTCTATTACAGTGACCTTTAATTACTTTAAATACATACCCGCTAAAGCAGCGGCCAGTATAATACCTGGGAATTTGACTTAACATGCATAGCACCTCCTCTTCTATGTGTTTGGAAGGTGAGTTGTGGAGATTATATGGTACTCTTAGTTGATAATATCCTGGACTAGTTACTTGATACATATAATCAAATTAATATTATTGCTTAAAATTTGTTTAACCCTTGGTTGTACTAACGGGACCTATAGCTCAGTAGTAATTACAGTAATTATTGTAATAATCCCGTTCACACCTCTGTATTCTGTACCAACAGAGCCACTTCTTCAGCACCGTCACCTGGTTTGGTGGCTAGAGAATGACGCTGCCAAGGTGCACTGTGTCAGTGGAGAGTTACAAGGTTCCAGCTGTATTTAGAAACAGTTATATTATAAGCAACAACAAATGATAGCCATTTATCCTTGAGAAGCTCAACTTCAAGTTTTTACATGCTTAAAATGCCCCCTTGATTGGGGACTTGGGCTTAATTTTTATGGACCTTGAGATTAGAAGTGGGAGGCCAGTGGCTAGGCACATCAGGGAGGCATATTTGGAAGGAAGAACTCCCTAACAATTTATTGTGTTTCATATGTAATGGCCTGTGGACTGTTCTGTTGAAAAGTCTTGCCTTCTGATATGTTTACATAGAGGACCAGGTAAAGAGACCAAATGATCTTCCCACCCCAGATGAGGCTGCTCCCTCTCATGGTGTAGGAGGGAGGACAGGCTTTGGATAGGTCAGGAAGGGCCAATGGTTCTGGTGAGAAAAGCAAGACCTGAGTGTTGGGAGGTGGAGACATTAGATGGCCATCAGCCTGTCTGGACCATCCTGTCTGGATGGCACTCCCACCAGAAGAGTGTGTTGTCTGAGGTCATTTAGCATTTGACTACTGGGGCTTTGGCCAAGACCTCATGATCACTGGGGATTCCAGCACTTAACACTGCTCATGTCTGTAGAGGAGTCTTCAAGCTCCTCTTAGGCTTCTCTGTTCTTCCTCTAAACTGAAATTAAAATCTTCTTGAAAATGAACTGGGAGGAGAAATAATTTTATTTCATAGCTTCTAGGAAGACCAAATTCATGGGTGGAGATGTCTGTAGTTATCTGGAACAGATCTTTGTTACTGATGGTCATGAGCACCTTCCTGTGAAACTGTCCATTTGAAAACAGCATGTCTCTAATTTTGTAGATCATTGTGACAGATTTATGATGTGTGAATTTTAAAGGTCTGATGTGCACCTTTTTGCCATCCTGAAATCTGAAAGACAAACATGCAATGAAGAAAAATACTTTTTATTTTTTCTGTATCCTGTATGTTTCTTTGGAAATACAGAGGATTCATTTCTCAATTAGGAGATTTCATGAGTCCAAAGATATTTTCTCATTAAAAATTCATCACATTACTTCTAGCCCAAACATGGCTAGAACATAATGATACTATTATTTGGTATTAGAAAAGTTAACTAGAGGGGCCAGGAAGTGCTGTGGTGGTTAAGGCACTGGACTCCCACATGGCTAACTTTGGTTCTAGTGCTGGACCTGGCGGCTTGTTTTTCTACTTCCCTTTCTCTCTGCCTCTCTCTGGTCAAATTAAACAAATATTAATGATGAGAATTAATGAAACAAAGTAATTCTTAAAAAAAAAAAGAAAACTTAACTAACTAGTATACAAGGGGTTTTCAAAACAGTAATGGAAAATGCACATTATGAAAAACCTGTACGTTGGTTTAAAATAATTTTGCATCAAAATAAACTTGTAATTTAATTCCTTTTTTTCCCCCATGAGCTCTTTGAAGTTGCCTCTTTAGACAGTTATTCCAATTGGGAGCAGTGTTTATTGAGACACTAATAGATGAAGAGTATTTTTAAATGTAATCTGTCAGGACCAGCAGTTAGCATAATGACTATGTCGCTGGACTCCCACGTAGTGGACTGCGGTTCGCATCCCGGACCCAGTGGCTTAAAACTCACGCCGGGCATGTGTGTGTGCGTGTCCAAGATCCCAAGAGGAGAATGGAGGAGAAAGGATTGTGGCGTGGCCATCCCCCCTGGGGGGTGATTTCTCACTTTCTGTCTCTCTCTGTCTGACTGGAGAGCACACACGCCCTATAGCAAAAACCTCTTCAAAAAAAAATGTAATCTGTCATTTTTGGTGTTATTTTCTTTTTTAATAAGTCATTTAAATTGGCAAGTACAAATCTTATTATATTTATGGGCTACGTGATGTTTTGATACATGTATATATTGTGGATGGGTAAATTGAGCTATTTAACTTAGGTGTTACTTCATACACTTAAGCAAATATTTTTATAAATAGTATGTTCATGTGGTAAAAGTGATATCAACCTGATGAATTTCTAAATGTCAGTTTTGGGGCCAGCAGGTGGCATGGTGGCTAAGGTGCTGGATCCCACATAGCTGTCTATGGTTCGAGTCCTGCACCCAGCAGCTTGAAAATCATTCCAGAAATGTTTGTATGTGACTAAAATCCCAAGAGAAGGATGGAGGAGAAGGGACTGTGGTATGGCCATTCTCCTGTGAGAATGCTTTCTCACTTTCCCTCTCTGTGTCTATCTCTGGCAAGCATACTTACTCTATGGCAGAAACCTTAAAAAATAAAATAAATAAGTAAATAAGTAAATAAATAAATAAGTAAATAAATAAATAAATAAATCTGAATTTGATACCACCCCATAAGCTTGGCCATGTCTCTGGTTTTCAGGTTGCAGATCTGAGCATGGGAGACTTGCTGTTGCATACCACCGTGATCTGGCTGAATCCACCAGCATCACTGGGAAAGTGGAAAAAGGAGCCAGACTTGGCAGCCTTTGGTATGTATCAAAAGAGAGTCTGAGGAGTGGGTGGAGGCTAACTTGTTTTCCAAAACGTGAATTTTTCTTTTCCAAGGCACAAATGATTAATCACAGTTATCTGAATTCATGATCTTGCTATGGTTGCCAACATCTCACTAATACTAAATTTAATCTTCTATGGCCAGCCCATAGCCTCATGGTTAAGAGAGCTGGATTCCTGGGACCAGCAGTTGGCATAATGGCTATGTCACTGGACTCCCATGTAGTCGACGGCAGTTCCAGTCCCAGACCTGGTGGCTTAAACTCATGCCGGGTGCATGTGCATGCGTGCCCAAGATCCTGAGAGGAGAATGGAGAAGGGATTGTGGTGTGGCCATCTCCCCTGAGGGGGTGATTTCTCACTTTCTGCCTTTCTCTCTGTCTCTCTGGCGAGCACACGCACGCTATAGCAAAATCCTCTCAGAGAGAGAGAGAGAGAGCGAGCGAGAGAGAGAGACCGAGAGCGCTTGCGTTGGATCCCACATGGCTGACTGTGGTTTGAATCCTGGCCCTGGCTCAAAAACATGTTGGGTGTGTATGTGCATGTTCCCCAAATCCTGATGGGATGCTGAAATAGAGGAGAAAGGATTGCAGTATGACCATGGTCCATTGGGGGCATGCTTTCTCCTTCTCTTTCTCCTTCTCTTTCTTAGTCTTTCTTTCTTTATGGGGAGTGCAGATACCCTCTAGCAGTCAAAACAAAACATTAATCCTTCAAGTTAAATATGTAGTGTGACAACTCAGCCATGTGGGTGGGTGACACTGTCTGTGCCCACACTTATCCCAGGTATAAACAGGAAACACATTTTTTTCCCTACTCTTGAGTATCTTTTCAAAATCATGGACTCATTATGAACCATGGAAATATAAGGTAAGACATCAAGACAAAACTGTTTCTATTTCCGAGATCCTCCAATTGTCTCCCTGATTCTGTGTTGCTGTGTGTAAAGCCCAGGTCTAGGACACTGGGTTTAGCTCTCGACTGTGCTGTTGTGACAGCTCTGGCATGCCTTGATCATTTGTGAGGCACATCTCCATCACTGGTCAGTAACTGTTACGGATATTAGTGAAAGTACAGGTGCTTGTGGATGATTTATTTTTTAATAAACTAGTTCAGGTGGACATAATTGCTGCAATTAAGCTCATGTGATTGTATTGTAATGTATTTTCTGAGACAGAAAAATCTGGGCCATCACATGGAATTGTGCATAATTCAGAAAACTGGGAGTTGTTGGGATTTAAATCCAGGTATGGCATGTTATACTGCTGTTCCTGAGTATAAAATGACCATCCATTGTGCTTTTGTTTTACATTGTGGTTTTTTCCTAGCCTCTCCCTAGAGTATTCATGGATAGGAACACAATATAAAGGAAATCTAGCACTTACTGTTCTCTTATCTTACATTATTTTTTGGGCATGGGTAGGGAGAGGAGATTGCTTACGACTTCTTTTTTAAAGATTATTTATTTCTTCTGCAAGAAAGGTTGGGGGTACCCTCAACAGGGTCTTCACTTCAAGATCTGCCTCCAGCCAGGATCATGGGGACACACGTGCACGTCCAGCATGTGCAGGAAGAGCTTGGAACACCAACCACCCTTGGACCTTCTCACGTAGCTTCAGCATTACAGAGCTTGCATTACCGCTGTACCACTATGCCCGGCTTGCTTATTACTCTTAGTTCTGTCCTCCACGATGAGACCAAATTATTTTCAAATGGGACAACCTAATGCTATTAAAAATTAGTGTGTTTTTGTTTGTTTTAATTTGCTGAGGGATGTGCCTTTTCCATTTCTCCATTCTATTGGGATCTGGAGAACACACACATGCCCAGCATGCTTTTTCAAACTGCTAGGACCTGGGTTCCAACTGTACAGTTGTCTGTGTGCAATCTGGCTCCCTTAACCACTAAGCCACAGAGTGAGCCCAATTTAGGGTGTTTAATACGAAGATGTATTGACCTTCCTCCTTAGGACACTTGGCCTTCATTGAGAACTTAGTAATATTCCTAAAATTTCCAAATAGCCACTGTAACTATGGATGCCATTTCAAAGAAACTTACAAGTGTGCTGAGAAAACGTGTGACTAAAGATTTTTGCTATAGGACACATGCACTTACTGGAGGACAGTGAGACAGAAAGTGAGAAATCACCCCTCTAGGAGGATGGCATGCCACAATCCCTTCTCTTCTCAGGATTTTGGGTACATGTGCACAGAAGCCTGGTGTGAGTTTCAAGTCACTGTGTCCAGGACTTGAACCACACTTGACTACATGAGGATCCAGTGACATAACCCTTATGCCATCCCCTGCTCCCAAGGTTTGTTTTAACAAGCTGGTAGCTTTTGATTGGGATGAGTGCTTTCTGGAGGGACAGTAGAAGTTGCTTTTTTCAGCTTTACCACTTGTGTTTCTTATGTTGCAGTTTTTTCATGGAAAGGTCTTCCATCTCTTTTGGGGCATTTATGGGTGGTGAATGTTGAAGTCAGTGACCCAAATCATTTACCTGTTTTTGGTGCTAAGCTTTAAACCAGCAATTCCAGAGTTCAGTGTTTAGAATTTTTTTTTTTTTTTATGACGGGTTCCCCAAATTTTATAGTAGTAGTTAAAAATAAACAAATTTAGGCCCAGCCTTTGTAGCATAGTGGTATTAGAGTGCTCCGAGAGGCTGGAAGCCACATGAACAGTGGGTTCAGATCTCTGGGTGGGATTGAAAATATACCAAGTGGGCATGTGGGTGCCAGGTTCCTGATCCTGAGGAAATACAGAGCTGGGAAGGGAGGATGAAGTGTGGTGAGACCCTGCGAAGGGTGCTTCTTGGTCTATCTGTTCTCCCCCCCACACACATTTTTTCTTTTGCATTCATGTGGGCGTTCTCTCATAGGAGGAAGGAAGGAAGGAAGGAAGGAAGGAAGGAAGGAAAGAAAGAAAGAAAGAAAGAAAGAAAGAAAGAAAGAAAGAAAGAAAGAAAGATAGATTTAGAATAAGAAAATAATTTGAGTGTGAGAAAACAGGGTTTGACAAACTTTTTTCTTAAGGACCACAGTGAATTTTAGACTGCCAGCCCAGAATGCCTGTTTTGAGGTTTGGGGCAGATGCTACTCTTCACGGGCTCAGACGGTGGACTTGGAGTTACTCGGGCAGTTTAAGAGAAGGAGGTGTGAGGTAACTGATTCAAAGGAGGTGAGCCCAGCCACCTCCGGGCTATAAGTGAGTGCTCATACGCAGCCCAGAGTTCTACACTGGCAGGCTGACCATTGTTCAGAGTCATCTTCAGACTACTAGGAAAAAGAAAAGGGAAGAGTTAAACTTAGGATTGTGAACAAAAGCTGACTATGGTCCTCGTAATAAGTTTAGTTACGGATTCCCAGTCTTTAAAGGTGACAGGTTTGGCAGTTTTGCTATGATTTCAAGTGGCAAGGCAGAACTAACAGCCTTAGACATGCATTTTCAAATAAGGAAGAGTTACTGTGAGAGAAGAACATTAATTACCATCAGTTAGGCAGCTTTTGGGTTAAAACACGGTTGTCTTTTTGTTTTGGTTTAAATGTCTATTCTCAGGAAATCGTGCAGCTTCTGAAACTGAAGTTGACTGGCTGCCAACCCAGTACCATGACGTCTTACTAACAGGGTGGCTAATGAGTCCTACATGCAGGTGATCTTCACTTTAAAACACACACATCAGAGCTAGCTTGTCTAGGCTTCTGCCTTGAAGGGTATTCGTGTTCATCTTTTAGGCCATAGAGAGGGTGCTTTAGGCTGGCAAGGGTAGCCATATCTAAAAGTATCAAGCAATACTGCAGAGTTAATTGGGGGAGAATAACCCCGAAGGACAGGAAAAACGTAAGAGGGAGGTGGAGGTCTTCATAGCTCAGTGCCAGGTTGAGACTTCCTTTGGCTCTCCTGCCGTGAGCCAGTATGGTTAAGATCGAGGGAAACGAAGGCAGGTGTATTAACCCTCTTTGAATCATGGCCATGGTGATGATGCTGTTGAGCTGTGGTCCCAATGACACGAAAGGTCGGTCTCCTGAGATTAGGGTCACTGGGCCTCCTCTCTCACCTTTTCTTTTTTTCAAATTTGCTAGAGGGCATGTGCACTCACTAGAGAGAGACAGAGAAGGAAAGTGAGGGATGACCATGCCACGATCCCCTCTCCAATTCTCTCTTCCTTTGGAGATTTTGAGCACGTATATGTGTAGGCACACCCTGTGTGTTTCTCAACCCATTAGGTCCAGGAATTGGAAGCCATGCTTGGCCATGTGGGATTCAGCCACCTTAACCACCATGCCTCTGGCAGACCCTAGTTCTCTCACTTTTAAAGGAACCTAGATGTCCTTTCTTGGTGATATCTGAAGGTTTCATGGTGGGAACAAAGGGCCTTCTCAGGTGACTAGTGATCAGGCATATCACAAAGCTGGTGTGACCTCTTCAGGTCAGAGGGCTCGGATACTGTGAGGTGTGAAGGTCTGGGGCAGTCTAGGCCCAGTGGTTGGAGTCAGATTCCCTGCATTTCAAGACACTTTTCCCTGCAGTGGAGATAGAACAACCCTACACTAAAGGAAGGCTGGCCTGCCCTTAGGAGGGTGGAAATGAACTAGATAGGAACCTGGGTTGGTCCCAGGCCTGGGTGCCCTGTGCTCCATTCCTGAGAATGCTCTGAACATTCATTTCATTATAATTCTGTGTCTAATACATTTGACTGTGCCTTGTCCAGCTGCTATATGACTAGGCTGCTCCTCTAGGTCAGAGTATGAAGAGGTATAGAGATTCTCTTGTGATGTTCGGACAACTATAACACAATACCATAATCTAGGTGGTATACACTTGAAATTTAGAGTCTGGGTATTCAAGTTCCAACTTTCTTGTAGAAGGTGCCTTCTAGCTGTGTCTCTGTGTGGTGGAAGGGGCAGGCATCTCTCGCTAGTCTCTTTCATAAAGGGACTGCTCCCGGTGGCCAGAGCAGAGCCTTTATGACCTAATACCTGCCAAAGGTCCCACCTCCTAAAGCCGTCACATGAGTGATTAGCTGTAACTTACAGATTTGAAGCAGGAGGTGACACAAACATTTTTTGACCATAGCAGAGAACAGCAGACACAGAGAACGGAGGATGGACTACAGCTGCTCTTCCATTCCTTCCTGGTACCAACTCTGCTTCCCCCTCTAGAAGGGGTCAGAATCACTGCCCGTTAAACATGTTTGGCATTGCTCAAGAAATTCTCCAGAAGATTATACATAACTCCATTGTGTCTCCCCACCCCCTGAAAAGATAGAAGAATGAAACTACATATTCACTGCTTCTAAAGAGCTTACTTTGACTAAGTCTGTTTGGAAGAAATGGGGTTACATTCTACTTTGTAAACTAATTTTTATATCTTTAGATCAAAAAGATAAACTCCAAAATGTTCATGGAAAAATGGGATGAAAATATGAGTTTATTTTGTGTAGAAATATTTTGAAATCTGTGCAGATTTTTTATAATACATATTTCCATGAACTTTTTGTTTGTTTTAATAGTTTGCCAGTGGGTGCATATGCCTGCCAGAGTGACAGAGAGAGAAGATGAGGAAACACCCACTATGGGGAATGATCATACTGCAATTCCCTCTCCCCTGTTTCTTCCTCCTTTGAGGATTTTGGGCATGCATGCACCTGCACCTGGCATATTTTTCAAGCTACTCAGTCCAGGACTTGATACACACAGTCAGCTATATAGGATCTAGTCTCCTCAACCACCACACCACTTGCAGCCCTCTGTGAACTTTTTGAAGACCCCTTGTATTTCCTGAATTATGAACACTATATGGATGTGTTTTGTGTGTGTGTGTGTGAAAATTAGCTTAATTTGCATGAATGTAAATCACCATAAACAATTATATAATTATTATTTAAAACATTTGTAGTATTCCTCCAGCTACCGAATTAATACATTTTTAGGTTTTTGCCATTGGGCACATGTACTCACCAGAGAGAGAGACAGAGACAAATTGAGAAATCACCCCCCAGAGGGGTGACCACTCACTTTCCTCTCAGGACTCTGGGCATACATGCACACATGCCCAGTGTGGTTCTCAAGCAGTCCAGTCTGGGACTTGAACTATGGTTGGCCATGTGGGAATCTGGCGCCTTATCCACCATGCCACTTGCTAGCCCATGAATTAGTACATTTTGACTATGTATCAACTGAACATTTTAACCTTGAAATCATGGTTAAAATATTGCATTTTACCCAAAGGTTTCATGGGAGAGAAGTTCTTTTTATTTATTTATTTTTTGTTTGTTTGTTTTTTAAACTTGCCAGGGGGCATGAACACTCATTGGAAAGAGAAAGAGAGAGCAAGACAGACAGACAGAAAGAAAGAAAGCACCTGCTGTAGGGCGTCATCATACTGCAATTCCTTCTCCACTTCTCCCTCCTTTCAAGATTTGGGGCATATAGGCACACGTATCTGGCATGTTTTCCCAAGCCAGTGGGTCTGGAACCTGAGCTACAGTCAGCCATATGGGATCCAGCTTCCTTCACTGCCAGGCTATGGGCTGGCCCTCTTTAGGCTTTCTATGTTTATTTTGAACCTAGGAAAGTTTGTCTTGACAGAACCTGGGGAGGTTTGTCTTGACAGGCTTTTGATCTTCATAGATATGACAAATGAATGGAAAGTGGGTGGGAGTCAATTACCTGGGATCTTTCTGTCCTCTTCATAACTGTAGTGTTTGTACCATCGGTGGTGAAAGTTATGGGGAAACCCCATGCATTTTGTGTTATAACTGCCTTTATTTTATTTTATTTTTCAGTCTTCAAAACTGCTGTGGTCCTTGTGTATAAAGATGGTTCCAAGCAGAAGAAGAAACTTGTAAGATTTATTATTTTACCCCATAGTCTAACTGTATCTTTCTTCCTACCTGCCTTTCAGTTACATCTGCATAATTCAACCACTTTTTGACAGAGTGGTTAAATTTTTATGATTTCTTTTCTTTTTCTAAGTGCTATTTAAGACTTTATAGGAGATCACCCAGACTGCCTTTTTCAGACAGGCTCATGTTTAGGAAAGGAAAGTGAATAGCTACTGAGCCTACTATGTATTTGTCCCTTTCTCTGTTGCCCTAGTTCTTGTTTTTTTTCTTTTTTTTTTTTTTGAGATATTTTTGCTATAGGGCGTGTGCGCTCACCAGACAGACAGAGAGAGACATAGAGACAGCGAGAAATCACCCCCCAGGAGGGATGGTCACGCCGCAATCCCTTCTCCTCTCCATTCTCCTCTCGGGATCTTGGGCACGCACGCACACGCGCCTGGCATGAGTTTTAAGTCACCAAGTCCTGGACGCGAACTGCGGTCAACTACGTGGGAGTCCAGCGACATAGCCATTACTCTAACTGCTGGTTCCCCCCTAGTTCTTGTTTTGAGATTATTTTTTCCCCTCCTCTTTCCTGTGTCTTTTTCTTACCTGTTTTTGTTAGTAATCTGTTCCAGTTTAGGGTGTGTGTGTGTGTGTGTGTGTGTGTGTGTGTGATAGGGTGTGTGTGCACTTGCCAGAGAGAGACAGTGAGAGGAAAAATGAGAAATCATCCCCCACAAGGGGGCTGCCCATACCATAGTCCCTTCTCCACTCTTCTCCTGGCATCCTGGGCACACATGCACATGTGCCCAGAGTGACTTTCAAGCCACCAGGTCTGGGACTCGAACCTTGTTTGGCAATGTGGGAGTCTAGCACCTTAACCATCATGCCATGTGTTGGTCCTTTGGTTAGTACTTACTTGCACTCCCTCAGCATTTTTTACATGTGACCCCTGATGAGCCAACGAGCATGTGGGGGTGAAGTTCCTTTGCACAAGCACTGGCGATACTGTATGTCTGTTACTGGCTTAGAAGATGTAGGGAACTGGCCCAGGGTCATTGAGATTGTTCTGATGCAGCTGTTTCTTTCTCTTCTGCAGGTAGGATCTCACAGGCTTTCAATTTACGAGGACTGGGATCCCTTCCGGTTCCGACACATGATCCCTACCGAAGCTCTTCAGGTCCGCGCTTTGGCAAGTGCAGGTAAACTTTTACATGTGCTGGGCACATATTTCTGATATGTGTGACTTATTTGTTTGAATCCATATTCTTGGTCTAACCACTCATCATTTTCTTCTATGTTTACTTCTCTTTTCCTTCAATTTCTTCATTGTCTCTTGTTTACCCTGACATTTATTGAGTGAATGCATTAACTGATTGAATGGATATATAATGTCTTCAAAATGACATCAACATGAGTAGATAAAGCCCATGTAAATTACTAACTTGCCTTTTAACCAGGAGACACCAAAAGATCAGCCAAAATACAAAAACAGTTATCAAGTACCCATTTTTTCCCTGAAGTATTATGAATCTTTACCTTTGGTGTCACTTTTGAAATGTCTGCGCATTTTCTTTGATCCAAATGGTGGTGAACTGAGTTGCTCGTTAGCAATGAGTATAATTGCTAATATGATTAGCTGATGCTTGAAGCACAGAAGTTAACATCAGCAAAGTATTGACTGGGACAAGTAATAGTTCTTGGGCTCAGAGGCCCCATCCTGGCGTTGTATTGAGGCCAAGGTCAGGTGTCAGCCATGACTTTCCCAGCATACCCTGGAAGAAGTATCTTTAGAGGTTGGTGGAAACTCTTTGACCACACCTATTGCCTATCCCATGTGGACAGTGGTGTAGCTTTCAGGTAGGAATGAGTGGCCCTGGAAGTGGCTACCTGCGGGTGCATAGTGGATGTATATTTTCATTTTCTGCTTTTAGCATCTAATATGAGCATTCTGTTCTATCTGATTTGTGTTGTTTAGCCTTTCCTTGTTTCCACTTTTCCCCTGCTTGAGCAATAAAACAGGATCTGATCTTCATAACTGCCTCACCTTAGTCCAGCGTGGAGTATAAATTTCTTTCAATATTTGAAATAAACTTTCAATATTTCAGCAAACTGTTAATTAGTCTCCCAAGTTAAACTAGATGTATCTTCCTTCATAGCTATTAACCTCACCACAGAAAAACACAGATGCAAAAACATGTAGTACTAATACATTTGGTATGATTATTTACCTTAAGAAGATTTCCTTCTAAATTTTCTACACAGTGATTTACCCTAATGTTTTTTTTTATTTATAGTTTGATTAATGAAATTGATTTCCCTGTGAATTTGCAGAAACCTATAAATTGTGGGTTTTCAGCAGCTGTACTAGCATTTTGAAGGTTGGTCCCTTGAATACTAGTGTTGTCTTACTTTAGAATCTTAGGTTATAAATGATCTAGTTTCTATGTTTCCTTGTGCTTGGCTTGTAAATTGGAAAGGTTATTTCTATAGCAAACTGTAGGCTTCTTAGCCAGGAATTTTGCACTCATTGAGGACTAAACACTTAAAGCCTTTACATTTTGAAAACAAAGTTATCTTTGTGATGTGACATTCCATTCTCGCCTGTATTTTTCATTCAAATCAAGTGTAAAACCATCAAGATAAAATCCTGTGTTAACTGAGTTATAAAGACATCCCTCATTATGAATTATATGCCAACAGATTTGGGAATCAGAAATTAGTATTTCTAGATTTTTATTTTAGTTTGGGAATGTTTGTAAACATTTCTGCAGATTCCAGTTAGGATTAAATAATGTAGGCACAGTGAGGGTCTGTGACCAGCGTTCTGAACCACTGAATAAGAATAAGACCCCACAGTGTGTAGCATTAATGTCTGCGGTGAAGTCTTTCTTTCACAAACACTTTATTCATGATATGGTAGTGGGGAACTGGCCTGTGGTGTGGTGTTTAAGGTGGCTGGATCCCACATAGCCAACTGCACGGTTTGAGTACTACGTATGGCAGTTTAGAAAACATGCTGAGTATGTGTGCATGCTCCCCAAGAAGAGAGTGAAGGAGAAAGGACTGTGGTGTCCCTTCAGCACCCCTCCAGAAGGGTGCTTTCTGACCACATCTCATCTCTCTCCAGCACATGCCATGTGGTAAAAATAAAAATAATAATAATAATTCAATGGTGTAGGAGTTGCAAAGCTTAGATATTATCGTAAAATGCCTTTGTTCTTCACCTTTTTTGCCTCACTTAAGGAGGGTACTGTGGGAAGACTGGGTCAGAAGAGTCCATTAGGTCTCCAGGGCCTGTTGACTCTGGGCCTTCTCACTGTAGAGAGACTTGTCCCAAGAGATAGCAAGGGCCTGCTTTATGTCACTGGCCTAAGGAAATCTCCATGGACTCTTGGGCTCTGTGTAGCCCAACTCTTGCCAAAACAACTAATCACTTAATTGAAATAGTTCAGCTAAAGAGGCTGCACAGCTGAAAGGGTGAGTTCATCATTCAATATGATTGACTGGCCTTTTAGATCATCTAGAAGGAGACTGTAGCAACTGAAATTTTCCAAGTGTTCTTTCCTTCACCCCATTAAGCTTTCACTTTGTCTTGTTCAATCATGGGATAGTCGTGAAGTATTGTTGGTCTTGAATAGCTCTGCACTATTTACTCTTCTACTAAAGTGTGGAAAATGCTTTTGCAGAAGTATAAACCAACCCATTTAAAATGTACGCTAATCCCTCTTTGTTTTCCTTTGTTTAGATGCAGAGGCAAGTGCCGTGTGTGAAATTGTCCATGTAAAATCGGAGTCTGAAGGGAGGCCAGAGAGGGTCTTCCACCTGTGCTGCAGGTGAGCCCAGGCCAGTGAAGTCAAGGCTGTATAACCTGGTGACCAGCCTCATATCCGCTGTGTTCTTACTAGTCACTCCATGCATCTTCAGATTCTGTGTGCTTTCTCTTGTACTTTTGAGAAATCAACATTTGTTAAATAACAGTCATTGGACAAATTGCACCAATTTTATTAGAATATAGACAGTAACCTGGTTAACTTAATGTCTTTCTAAAAGGAAATAGGAATTTGCAAATACATTCAACATTCAAAAGTGGGCTTTGCTCTCATATTTGCATTCCATAGTTTAGAACTTCACGGGTTCTTGTAGCACTGTGTGAGTGTTTGGGCATGTTGCTTGTTTATACTATAACATCTCTGAGGTGACAGTGTAGGACAGTATTACCAGGATTCCTGATCATTTCAAGAAATTCAACACAGCGTCTGTGTTGGTCACCTGCAGAGCTTGAGTAGAAGCTGAACTTACAATGTAGCCTTTTATTTGTTTCTCCTTGTTTTTTTTTTTTTTTTTTTTTTTTTCTTCCTCACCTCACCCTTCTCTATCTTTCCTCCTTCTTTCTCTTCCATGAGAATTTGAGGTCACCTTCCATATGTAGCCAATTCTCTCTCTCTCATTTTTTTTTTTTCTTAAAAAAAAAATCAAGATAGGGACCAGCAGGTGGCATGGTGGTTAAGGCACTGGACACTCTCACATGGTGGACCACAGTGTGAGTCTCAGACCTGGCGGCTTGCTTTCTCACTTTCCCTCTCTCTTTCTTTCTCTCTGTTTCTTTCTCTGGTCAAATTAACATAAAATGAATAAATAAATAAATAGGAATAATTCTTTTTTTAAAAAAAATCAAGATAGATGGTCCCTATAGACAGCATTCAGCTATAAGGGCACTTTGAGAAGTTCATGGGAAAAATGTACTTAAAATACAAGTTTATTTTGGAGCAAAACAATTTTGAAGGCCATGTATTGTTTTCTTCATTATAACATATTTTCCACAAGCTTTTTGCAGTCTTTGCCAATATTTCACTTTAATTATGCTTTAATTTAATTTAATTATAGGCACTCACCAGTTTACTCAATAATTACCTAGTCTCTATACTGCAATTAGGAGTATAGGTTGCCCACCCACACACACACAAATAAAAAAGCCTGTCATCAATAATATGGCTATTAGAAATATTTTATGATGCTATTGCTAATAGAGTGAGAAAGCGATTTACCTTGCATGAGTTATGCTAAGGACCTTACAGCCATTGTTTCATTTAGTCAGACCAAGGGACTATTGCTTTTTCCATTTTACAAACAGAGAATGAAGGCTCATACTTAAGTACTTTTCCTAAGACTTTATAGAAAATGAACACTGGGTTCAAAACCCATGTTTTGTGTTGTTATTCCATTTTGGTATTTGGTGACAGAGACCAATAAAGGGGAAATTCCCAGGACACTGTCATGACTGAAAGTGAAAGATTTAAAAAAATAAAATAAAATAACACATATGTTGTTTGAGCACAGTCTCTACCATTTATTTAGTCTCATTCATTTGTGATTTTGTTGGTAAACCCTTGGGTTTAGTGAGCTTTCCTTTCAAGAGCCACATTCATTGTTGTATCAGGAACACTGGTGAAATTTACCTGGGTGAAAATATTGAGAACCGGGGCTAGCAGGTGGCATTGTGGACTCCCACATGGCCAACGATGGTTTCAGTGACTTGCTTTCTCTCTTTCTTTCTCTCTCTCTCTCTAGTGAGCACATGTGTGCTGTAGCAAATTCTTTAATAATGATGATAAAATTAAATTAATAAGTCTTTAAAAAATACTGAGAACTAAAGAAAAATAACTCTTACCTAGGAGGTACTTTTGCTTTGTTTTTTGTTTGTTTGTTTGTTTTTAGGAGGCACTTTTGCTTTGTTTTTTGTTTGTTTGTTTTTTTACTATGGAAATTGAGACTTGGGAGTTCTTGACAATACAGCCTCCATATATGTGTGTTGAGATGTGTCATGGGAGGAGGGAGACCAACTCCATAGAACTAAGGATACTGGGACATCAGTCTTCAGGTGTGCTATAGAGACTCAAGAATGTTGTGATTTGCCTATCCTCAAAAACTTTTTCAAATGAATGGTTCTGCCAAGGGCCGAATTTGGCAACTTCTTTGTGTAAATCCCACTGTTCATTCATCTGTTCATTAATAGCTACTCAGCCACAAACTGGCTAAAGGAGATAAATCATGAAGCATCAAGGACTGTTCTTTATCTCTAGCTATGAAAACAGCTCAGCCTAGAAATTGAAGTCATGGCCTCAGTCTTTAACCTTGGACTCGCAGGGATATTAGTTGGGCTGCACCTGATCACATTAGACATACCCATGTGTTATGTACTACTCCCCTAACATGTGTAACTCTTCTTTTCATAGCTCCCCAGAGAGCCGGAAGGATTTCCTGAAAGCTGTGCATTCGATCCTGCGTGATAAGCACAGAAGACAGCTCCTCAAAACCGAAAGCCTTCCCTCATCCCAGCAGTATGTCCCTTTTGGAGGAAAAAGATTATGTGCGCTGAAAGGGGCCAGGCCAGCCATGAGCAGGGCAGGTACTGTGGGGATTCAGACCTTCAAGATCCCTGTTACTCCCACTCCGCTGTAGGACTCAGGGAGCTTGGCCTCCCTGTTGATCAGGAGCAAGGTGTAGCCTGTGGGAACTAATGTAGGAGCCCGGTTCTTCCCTGGTGTGAGGTTCCTGTCCCTTGCCTCCTTCCCAGTGGCTCCCTGGGGAATCCCCTTTGTTTACGCCTCTTGCCCTCCTTCTAGCCTTCCCTTTGCTGCCCTCCTCTTTGTGGCTGGTGAGCTCCTCTCTCATTTGCCAAGCCAGGAAGCGTGTGCATCCTCTTTCTGGAGGGGCTGTCTTAGCCTGCTTGTGGAATGAGAGTCGCTGCTTTGCATGACAGCCGCTTTGTCTAGCAAGAAACAGTGTCATGTCTCAATGAGGTCACAACCCACCATTCTGAGAACATGATGGCTTTCTAATCCAGTTGCACAGCAATGCCTGTTCTCAGAAGACTCCAGATTTGGTAGACCAGATGACACATCAGATTTTTACCCTCACTTTGTCCCTGCAGTTTTATTTTTAGATTTAATGTTAATTTTAGGAAGCCTTGAGCTGCTAATGCAAAAAAAAAAAAAAGGAATGGTACCAGAGTAAATTTTCTTGTAGGACTTACTCTGTTTTTTTGGAGCACTGAGGAAGGAAGTTCAATGTTACTACCTATGAATGGCAGTAAAATGCATCTAGGAAGAAAAATATTTTCCTGACACTTAGGTACTTAATGACATCAAGATATTAACACTTTCATCACTCCTCTCTTAAGAAACAGCTCAAAATTTTGCAGGGAGGATTCCCACAGAGTTTTTCTGACCTTTGTCCTAATTACCTTTCTGCCTGTTCTCCATTGTGGGGAAGAAGCATAGATGAACTGTGAATAGTTGAAGGTCTTAGACATAGTTTACTTAGCTTGACATGGGATATCGCATTCTTTAAGCACCTTAAGTTTAACTAATGTTAGGGAATTAATTATCTTAAATCTATTCTATAATAATTGATAAATGTTTATTAAGAATCTAGTACAATGAGCACTCTGTTGGGTATTCCAAGGTATCCTAAGGTTTTGCATTATTTCCCTATCCACAATTTCTCATGGAGTTCCCATATAAGCATTGTTCATTGATCCCTCATAGCTCACTGTAGAAAATTCTGTCTTGGAGTCTCACCTGCCCCTCCTTGCCAGAGAACGTTTGATAAGGACTGAGAATATGTGTTTCAACCTCAGGGAATTCAACTATAATTCTCCAAGTTTTAGCTGTTAATCAACAAACCTGAATTCAGAGCTGCATTTACTTTGAAATTAAGCATGTTTAGTCTGTAGGACACTCAGAT